AGTTGTGAAACTCATAAAAAAACCAAAGCAATAGCAATCCTCAATTAATTTGTATCAACCTGCAGTAATGGCTGTCCCTTCTACACATAATCCTATATCTAATTATGTTAAATCAGAAGTATTATTATGCAAATCAATACCCAAATACCATCTATGTTGTAGATATACAAATGCAACTTCACTTAACAATAAGTTCGATTTGTTTTTGTTAGAAATAGCAGTGTATAATCCTGACATATTTATTGTAACTGAAACTTGGTTTAACTCATCAAGTGCCATAAATGTAAGCGAGTATAATGTTTTTTACAACAGTCGATCTAAATCTAATTCAACTAAATCTCATGGCGGAGGTGTAGCTATTTATGTTAAAAATAAATACATTGCTTATACTCCATATGACCTAGCATCTGAAGAAATGACAGTTGAACAAGTCTAGTGTGTCATTAAAACATAAAATGAGAATATCTTAATTGGTAGCATATATCGTCCACCAGATGCTACAGAATTGACGAATCAAAAAATAAATAAAATAATAAATATAGCTAAAAAAAGTGTTGATTGCAACAAATATTCAGATCTACTCTTAGCCGGAGACCTAAATTACCCAAATATAAAATAGAATGAGAATGATGAGAATATCCAAACAGTGTTAAAAAATGATAGACAAGCACAAATTTTTTTTAGAAAATTTAAATGATAACTTTTTAACTCAAAACGTCACAAAACCAACCATTAATTCAGGGACACTGTCAGAAGGCAATACCTTAGATTTGATTTTAACCGATGCACCAGAGCGTATTTCGATCATAGGCTATAATCCTCCGTTAAGCAATTTAAATAATGCACATCAGGTATTGTATTGGAATTACATCTTAAAAAAACCAACAACATCAAAATCTTCCTATGGGAAATCAAAGTTTAACTACAAAGCCGGAAATTATCAAGAAATGAACAATTCATTCCATAGTATAGGATGGTCACATATTTTCTCTAATAAAAACGTTGATGAATGCTACAAAATTTTTGTAAATAAATATCAAGAATTATCTGACTGTTGTATACCTAAAACAGTACATAAACACATAGCTTTAAAACCATATATTGACAAACAAATTAAGACTGAAATCAGACATAAAACAACCTTATGGAACAACTTAATATCAAATAAATCCAAATCACCCATTTTGGTTCAGCAATACAAAATACAAAGTAAATTAGTTAAAAACATGGTGAGGTTAAAACGTATTGAATATAAAAAAAAAATCAGTGAAACATCAAAAAGAAATCCCAAGTTATTTTATAGTTATGTAAATTCTAACAAAAAAGTTAAAGGAGGAATAGCTTCAATGTCTAATGAATATAATAACATTGTAACAAATAGAGAATCTATAGCAAATATTTTAAACAATAGTTTCAATTCAGTTTGTGTTAACGAAGATAAACATAACATACCAAATATACCGCAGAAGACTGAAATTCTTCTAGAAGTAGATATAAATAATAAAATAACTTGTCATACTATTGAAAAAAAATTAAAAAAATTAGATGTTTACAAAGCTATCGGAGTAGATGGGATATGCCCATATGTTTTAAATAAATGTCATAGTACTCTCTGTGAACCATTACATTTAATATATATAAAATCGTAGACTGAGAAAAAATTACCTGAACTCTGGAAATTAGCAAATATAACACCAATTTTTAAAAAAGGTAATACGAACATTGCATCTAATTACAGGCCAATCTCATTGACTTCTATCCCATGTAAAGTTTTGGAATCACTCATTAGAGATGAAATTATGGATTATCTAATAAATAACAGCTTATTAAATGAAAATCAGCATGGGTTCAGAAAAAATAAAAGCTGCACAACAAACCTATTGGAAACTCTTGATATCATAACAGATGCACTAGAAAATGGCCACTCAGTTAATATGTTGTATCTAGACTTTAAAAAGGCTTTTGATAAAGTACCACACTCGCGTTTGATCACTAAACTTCAATCATATGGTATTGTGAGAAATTATCTGGGATGGATAGAGAACTTTTTAACTAACAGAAAACAGAGAGTGATCCTTAGCGACACTGTCTCAGATTGGGTACCAGTTATTAGTGGTGTACCACAGGGGTCAGTTTTAGGACCACTGCTGTTTTTGATTTTTATTAATGATTTGCCAGATCAAGTCAAAAACCCTATTAAACTTTACGCTGATGATAGTAAAATAATAAATATTATAAAAAACCAAATGATTCAATAAGCCTTCAAAATGATTTAAATAATATAATGGCACGGTCATCTATTTGGCTCAAAAAAAAAAAAAAAATTTAATTATGAAAAATGCAAAGTTATGCATATTGGGAAGAAAAATCCAAATGCTACATTTATAACGACTGATATTGATTGCAATTACAATTATACATTGTGTAACACAAAAGCTGAACGTGATTTGGGTATAATGGTTCAATCCGATTTAAAATGGCACTCACAAGTTGATTCAGCAACCAGCAAAGCAAACAGAATGTTAGGTACCATAAAGAGAAGCTTTAAATATTTAGATAAAAACATGGTAAAAATGCTCTATACAACGTTCATACGTTCACATCTTGAGTTTGCGGTCCAGGCATGGTCTCCATTTTTAAAACAAGACATTGACAAGATTGAGAAAATCCAAAAAAGAGCAACCAAACTAGAACCTACAATTAGGAAATTATCATATGAGGCTAGGTTGAATATTATGCAATTAACGTCACTGGAAGAACGTAGACTACGTGGAGATCTGATTCAACAATATAAAATTCAGCATGGCCACGATAAAATAAATTGGGTTGCTAACGATTGTGGAAATGCATTGGAGGAGGGTCCATGTCTGCGACAACACAAATTCAAAATGAGGAAGCCTTTTAGCAGAAATACCTTCAGGTATCATTTTTTCCAAAATCGAGTTGTAAATGCGTGGAACAGCTTACCATCTGAAATAATAGAAGCTACTTCAATAAATAACTTCAAAAACAAACTAGACAGAGCTGGATTTTGCAGAAACTATATGTTAAAACACAAACAAAAGACAAAATGAGCTGTTACAGTGCAATATCTTATGTTATTGCACTTCGCAACTGTTTGAAACAGTTGTTACAGTTATACCTTATTATTATTATTATTATTATTATTATTATTATTATTATTATTATTATTATTATTATTATTATCTCTTTTGATTAATGGTGATACTGCACTAACTGATGAAACACATTGACATATGTAAGGCCAGTATAAAAGTCGCAAGATCTATTATTTTTAAAATAAATGTTTGTATACAAGTAAATTGCAATAACACGATTTGTTTGGATTATGTTTATATACAAATTTATCTGTTTTCATAGTAATAACTTATGTGGTTGAAGTTAATTTTTCATATAAATCTTTATTTTTTTATTTCGTGCTGAAGTTCTTTTTTAAAGTTATCAATTTCCTTTTTTAATTCTTGAAACTCTTTTAAAAAACAACGCTTAGCATTAAATTCAACATAATTTAATGGATCATTTTTTGAAAAAGTTGTATTATATTTACATTTAATAATATCAGTCTTTGAGCATTGTAGCCCAAGTTAAACGAAAAATATCGATTTTTAAACGATAATGTTCTTTCAGGAAATTCGTCTAAACATGTTTTCGATCTCTTGAAAATTCTATATGGTATAAGTTCAGTATTTACATTTTTTTTTCTTTATAACTTTAACCGTTGAAAAGATGTTTACGTTTTTACTTCCATTTTTGCGCGCGCATAAATTTTATATCGTATTTTTTGTCAACAATGATTGAAATAATGACGTTGAAATAACGTTAAATAATCAACGTTTAAACTGTAACGTTGATTTAACGTTGAAATAACGTTAAATAATCAACGTTTAAACGGTAACGTTGATTTAACGTTGTGACATAGTTGAACAACGTTGAAACAACGCTTCAACCGAATTTCAACGTTGAAACAACGTAAAAATGCCGGCTGGAATAGTTTGAAAAAATTTAATCCTTTGAATATTATTTCAATACCACCTACTAACCTTATAAAAAATCCAATATTAAATCTTTCGAATATATCAATCTCACGTGAACAGGAAAATTGATTAAGTCCTGGTCCGCAATTTATTCCAACACAAAATAAAATACTATTTATTGATATTATAACATCAACTGAGGAATGCGCTTTAAATATTGAAAAAAATGTGATTGTAGAAAGAGCAGAATTTTTAAGACAAAATATCAGCAAAATATTAACCAAATATTTAAGAGTAAAAATTGATAGTAATATTTGTAAAAATCAACGTCTAGCTACCAATGAACTCAAAAATTCAACCAACATAAACTTATATCTTTTTAATAAAGGTAATGGGTTTGCCATTTTAAACTCGGACTCAGCAATACAAAAAATAAAAAAACAACTTGGCAATTGCGCAATATCTGCAGTTGATCCAACTCAGAAGTTTCTAAGTCTTATTCAACGTACCCTTAGTAAATTAAAAAAAAGATAAAAAAACATATGGTAAAACATATCCTTCAGATGCAATTCCGCCCCGTTTGTATGGTTGTATTAAAGCACACAAAAGTAAAAAAGGTTATCCAATGCAAATAATAGCCTTAACAATCGGCACACCACCTCATAAACTTTCGCAACATCTTGTTGAGATCATGCAACCAACTTTAAATAAAAATGAATGCCGTGATAAAAAATTGAGCTTCATTTGAATCAACAGCAAAAGAATGGTGACGAAGTTTAAGTGTCATTTGATGTTATTAATTTATACCCATCAGTACCACTTGATAAAGCAACTATTACAATTATTGATAAGCTAAACAAAGATAGAGATGATCTAATACAACAAATTATGTTATCTTCAGTAGACATTCATAAACTAATTGATCTCTGCATTAGTAAATGTTGTTTTTTATGGGAAGACAAAATACATTTTTTTAAAAACTCTGGTCCAATACGTATATCCATTATGGTCGTCTTGTCAAAAGCATATCTACAACATGTTGAATCTAATGCTATTCAACAGGCTATAAACGTCAATATTGCACCAAAAACTTATAAACGTTACCTTGATAATAGCCATGCTCAATTTACTAATATTGATGACGCAAATTCTTTTTTAACACTTTTAAATTCACAAGATAAATCTATTCAATATACATGCGAATACAAAAATGCTCAACACCAATTAAACTTTTTAGATGTTTGTATTTCAACCAATCACTCTATTCACAAATATGAGTTTTCCATACACCGTAAAGATGCAATTACAAACGTACTTATAAAACCGAAATCATCTATTTTAGCAAATATCGTTGTTAGTATTTTTCAAGGTTTTAAAAATACCAACAACGATAATAACAACGAGCATACAAAATTTTTTCAGAACATAACATTCAGGATGAAATTAATTTTCTTATTATGATTTTTACTGAAAATGAACATTCCTATAAACAGTATTCAGATATTGCTAAAAATTATAAATACTCCACAAATCCATCTTGTTCTCAAAAATTTGATACCAAAAATCTAGTTATTTTACCATGGGTCCCAAAGTTAGGCCTTGTTCTTAGAAAAGAACTTCGTAAAGCCGGCGTTAAAACAGTCTTCCGTTTTGGTAATCTCTTAATCAATATAATTTGCCATAGCAAGTCTAAACTGTCTCCGAATAGTCATCCTGGAGTGTACCAACTTAGTTGCACATGTGGTGCATGTTATATTGGTGAAATATTAAAAAAGATTTCCACACGAATTCAAGAACATAAAAATAATATTACAAAAGCCAACTGGGAAACATCGGGAGTAGTAGAACCATGGCCTACTTAAATACACGGCCTTCTACTCTGCTTAAATTGGAAAAAAATAGGAGGCCAGTTAAAATAACGCATATTTTGTCGGATGGACAATCTTTCTAAAAATATTTTAATTATTGAGTTATGAATTTTAAGTAAGTAAATCTGGCACGGGATAAAAATTTTTGCGTTAGCTTAATCGAAATATCTACTAAACCACTAAACTTTGTATACTTTATTGAGGCTTCTTTTTAATAATAAATCATGATAAATTAGTTATCATGATTAATAAATGCTGTGTTTACTGAAAACAACACAAAATTTATTAACCTTCATAATTACATATTACTTAAATATTTTATAAAGACATGGGTTATATTTGTCAATAAAATTTTTGTGATATTCAAGGACTGTACAAGAAATAAAAATACTCAAACTCTCAAAAGTAAGCTTTAAAAGTATAAACAAAATTGAACACAAACTGATTAAATTTACTGATTAATGCGAAAAAAAAATGTTCTTATTTTTTTCTCTGTTTTTGTTTAAAGACAACAATGTTATCTGCAACAATGGAATCACAGACTCTCTTTCTGATGTTATTAAAATAAATATTTGAAATAATAGTGTGTATAATTTCTTTTCCACAATTTTGGTGATTTAAACATAAAAATGGTTGGCAACCTTCTCTACTGCCAAGAACTAACTTTGCTGCTTTACGGTGTTGCATTCGAGACTGATAAATAACATCAAATACATGATCTAGCATAGCAAAACTATCACAGACATATTCTAAAAGGGGTAATGATGGAGTTGTTAGCCCACCTCTGGACAATATATTTAAATAATTATAATCATTCAACTCCTGTTGACAATGTTGAGTACAAAGCAATTTGCAACATATTTTAAACTTCTTATTCAGTTTTTTGGCAATAAAACCAGCAATATAACTAGCAACTTCACGAGAATCATCTGATAAAGTCACACAATCTAAATCTCTTTCTTTGATCTGATTCATCAAGGATCTAGCATGTTGTGTATCTTCTACAGCATTAATATCATTTTCGAAAATTTGAATTCCTTCCTTTACTAAACTTTTTATTTGGATTATCTTCTCACTATAAATAACATCTTTCAAACTGAAAAATAACCTGCCACCACTCATTTGGCGGTGTTGTCCAAATCTTCTTTCTAACGGATCACTTTGAAAACGAGCAGTCAATATAAATTTATAATTATCTTCTAACAGATCTTCTATTAATAAAGCATGACATAATAAAGTTCTTTGTAGTGCTGATAACGTTTGAGGAGATAGTGTATATTTCTCAAAATTTGGAATTTTTGTGTTTTTCCAATTATTTAACCAGTCAGTGAAAGCTCAAAAAAACTCAGGTTTTTTATCATTAATTATAGCAGCATTTCCAAGACAGTTGTTAGAAAACTGATTTTTTGAATTTGTAATTATCCACCATTTATTAAAAAGAGTTAAAAAAGATGCAAAATCTAAACAGTAGGGAAAATATGATTTTATTGCTGCTGCTGTAGTTTCATGGAAGATACCTAAAGCAATAGTGACATTTTGCTTGTAGTTTCCAGGATGGACAACTTTGCTATTTATTTTTGGTGCTTTTTTTAAACTTGAATCCAACAGGCTGTCCTTTTCCAATAAATCATGAAATATATTCCATGATATTTCTCCTGGTTGAACATGAATTTCATCTTTAAAACCTGAAAAATGAAATTCTGGAAAAATAAACCTTTTTTTATTTAATAAGTTGTTTCGAATGTTTTTAATCAGATGCACTGTGTCAAAGAATAGGTAAATTTTTTGCGATTGTACATTAATAAATAAATCATCAGGTTTTTTACCATGTGCATTAAGCAACTTTGTAAAAGAGGAAACATTTGAAGCATGATTGTCACAAACAACACCTTGAACATTAAAACTATTTTTTATTAAAGATTGAATCAGGTTAAGAATTTCAGTCTTCAACCAATCACTGTTTAATTTTATAATTGGAACTGCTTTGACGACACAAGAGATATTTTCTTTTAAACCAACTACCATGAAGGAAACAATGCTTCTATAACATTCATTTTCCTCACTAATCCCAATTATATCTCCGCCAGAATATTCAGCACATTTTTGCAAATACATTTCATCAAAAATTATTAAAAGATCTTTTGATAAGCTCCCATTTTCATGTAACAACTTTAAAACTTTTATAAAATCAATTTCACCTGCTTTAAGCTTGCCTAACAGTGATATAGATGGAAGTGGGAATTCCTTCAGCAGTAAATTATATGTTTGCAATGATGTGTAACGCAGCATCAAGACAAATTGAAGCATATCTAAAGAATAAATTTGATTTTTTTTTACTTGGTGACTTTTAAGTTCTTCAAGAATAGAAGACAGCTTCTTTTTTTCGATGCTAAAATGTGAATTGAAGTTTTCCAGCATACTCCTTCTCTTTAACACACATTGGTGGGTTACTCTAAACCAAGGTGGTAAAGAAACTGGAAGATTTTTATAAAAAAGTTTAACGTGAAGATTTTTGTCAATACGAATACATTCAGCAACTTGAGGTATGTGAAGTTCATTTTGAATAATTTTATGGAACACAACACAATCATCAAATTTGGAAAATGAATATCCTGTTGGTGAATAATTTTATGGAACAGCAACTGTAAGAGAATTAAGATCTTCAATAACATCATTTGATAAAAATTTTTGATATTCATCTTCTTGAAAAATTCTTTTAGTTGGTGATTTTCATGGTACAGACATAACTGAAAGTGAAGCCGCTATGCTAGCCGGATATATTGTAGGAACAGGCTTCAAATTATACAACAAACGAAATCGTTTTGCTGATGCTCCTTTGTGTATTAAATTTTCATCAAAATGTTTTAAACAGATTACAGATGATTTAGTGACAGTCCAGAAATTTCTGTTTACAAATCTAACCCATAACTTTCTTAAGTCATCATCTTTTGGAGAACCAAAAACTGGGACTACTTCACGACAATTATAATTAAAGGTACAACCAACAACACAGCATTTATTAACCATTATTATTATTAATAATTAAAAAGTAGTCACAAATAACAATACAGTTTGGCATTAATCTAACGCAAAAACTTTTATCCGGTGTCAGATTTACTTACTTAACATTTATAGCGCAATATTTAAAATATTTTGAGAGAGTCTGTCCATATAATAGAATATACGTTATTTCAACTGGCCTTCTATTTTTTTTCGATTTAAGCAGATTAAAAGGCCGTGTATTTAAGTAGGCCATGGTAGAACCACTGATCTCAAAATATAACTGGATAGCGTATACGGTAAATTTTTTGAAGCCAGTTTTGGCCTCCCAAGATAGCGGCGGGTTTTGTTGATTGCAAATTAAGAAATTTTTGTTACGAATTTTTATATCTTTTGTTAAATATTATTAAATGTACAAGCTTCAAATATAAATATTATTTTCGGTTTTATTTAACAATGAAAAAAACAACAAGGTAAAAACACAATATTACATACTTGCGTAAATTTCTAAGATTAATATATATATTAATATATATAAATTTCTAAGATAAATATATATATATATATATATATATATATATTTATATAAATATATATATATATATATATATATATATATATTTATTTATATATATATATATAAATATATATATATATATATATATATATATATATATATATATATATATATATATATATATATATATATATATATATATATATATATAATATATATATATATATATATATATATATATATATATATATATATATATATATATATATATATATATATATATATATATATGTATATATAATATTTTATAATACAAACCTCCTATGTCTTTGAATTTTAAAAAGCTATTTTGTTCTAAATGAAAAGGGAGTACTAGTGCATTTTGACATTTAATACAGATAATTTTTTTTGAAGTCATTTTAGCTACGTATCCAGCAATATATGAAATTGAAACTTTTTTGTATTCAGATAGGTTGCTGAAATTAGGAATATCTGCATAGTCATGATCATTAATAGTTGGTTTTCTCTCCAACAAATCGTATTTTCTTATTAATTCAATTTCGGTCATAGATATTTTAGTGCTGAAGTCAGCAAAAGAATCGTCTAAAACATTTAAAATATGTGTTTTATCTCTGATGCTGCAATTACCATTTGAACATTGAATGCTACTTTGCAGCAATAGTCGTTTATATGTGGCTGTGAATTGTTGGCAATTAGGATTGTTGTTAAACATTCCTGCAGATCTTACAGCACCAAAAAAGAGCTCTAGATGGTCTTGACTGAGCTTATATGTTAACAAATAATTTAGTGGTGAACCTTCTTTTTCAACCCAGTCAAGAAATATACCTTGTACAGATTTAATTCCTATTAAAAATCCAATAAAACCAGTTTTTCTACTAGACAAGATCATTTGCGTACCAGTAGTATCTTTAAGACTGTTGATATAATTATATGCCATTTCAAGAAATGGAAACCAAAGAGTCTTGTTATATGTACGCAATGCTGACTTATATCCTTTGGCAAATGGGTTTCTTGAATTTAATATGTCATATAATCGATCTATTGTGCAAATAAACTCAACAGTAGCACCATATCCTTCAAACTGTGATAATTTAAGATTTTCTGAGCAATAAAGTAAGGCATCAGCAACACTTGAACTAAATATTTGGGCAGCTAGGTTTACTTTCATTTTTTGTTGTCTAAATTCTATACGGGCTAATTTTAACTTGTTTCCCATTCTAATTCCTTCTTTGGACTGCAATTTTTCAAGTTCAACTAAATAATGCCACCTGATTTTATTATTATTGCTGTCCACAATAATACCAATATCTGCCAGGGTATTTCTGAGAAGTTTTAACATGTGACATACATCTAACAACACATAAACTATTTCACATGACTTACTTGGATTGGGAAAACTGGGTAATAAATTACTTGGTCTTAAATTTGCACCAAGTTCAGAAAGCATTGCAAAGTT